TTGAAACTCCGTATGAAACTTACACTGTATACAATTAGCTCCGCTTGAAAACACACACGAAACTATATGACCGACATTTTAATTCCTGCATCGACGATTCTACTCGAAATAAAAAGGTTATTTTAAGAATGCTGAGGAAAATTAAGTTGTTTGTTTAGTTTAATTATACAGTATAACCTCCACAACAGTACAAACACAACAATCAATAACAGACTACATACAGAAGCTTTATATTACTAAGAAGATATTAAATTTTGTAGTATCATAATGACCACTCCTGTCCACAAAGAGAAGGTCCATTACTCTACAGTTTTGTTTAAAAAAAATAGCCATTAGAAAAATGTGTTAAAAGCATACCCTTAAGATTTTGATAAGAGTTCACAAATGTATTTTAGACAATGGAAAGTACTTTTTAAAATCCATTTAATAATTATTTTATAGCCATGCTTGAATGGTGGTCATCTAAACGCAAGTAGTCGGTGTAAATGTGTTGATGGTTGGATCGGAACACGATGTGAGAGGTTAATGACACGTAAGTATCACGGTCAATATTAGAGACTTTTGTTATGCGGAATTTTCCCATCGGTATCACGTATCGTGTACGTGAAGTTGCGTCAATGTTGGTTTACAGTTTTGGCACATTTTCGCGTCGCGTACTTATGCGTCGATAAGATGAGCTTAGTTCTATTAAAGCATAATGGCAGATATCTTCCAAGATCACCATCAGTATTCGTCAAGTGTCTACTATAGTCTACAATTTCCCGGATGGAGTGAAGGCGCTCAACAGTCGCTGAGCTATTAAAAAATGTATTGATGTCGAATCATATTAAAAATCTTCGACTTCAACTCAAAAGCAATATTTGCTTTCACTAATGTATCATTTCAGAAAGTTTATAACCCTTTACTATACAGATTTGCAAAGTTCAACGTAGATCAACCAGAATGCAAACAGGCCGAAAATTCTGAGAAAACCCCATTAAAAATAATGATTAAATTCCAATGTTTATCATGGTTAAAATCACATGAAATATACACCTTCGTGTTCTAGAATACACAATGTTTCATAAAACGCTATGATACAACATTTCAGCGTCTAAAAGTAGCAAAGAAGACAGTAAAAAGACACGACAATGTTATACGGACATTTTCTGTATGAAAGCTGTTCGATACGTGCTGCCGAATACGTGCGCCGTATCATGTATGAGACATACATACACACATTGATGACGTCACACGCAAAAGCCATACGGATACGCGAATGAATGAATGAAATGAAAAGGAGAGAGAGGGAGAGAGAGAGATATTGGCTTTAACTTCCACTCACGCCCTACTCTTTTGCATGTAGCGTTCTAATGAAGACGGACATCGGGCATAATCATACAATATACTATGAAAGAATTGTCTGCCCGAACAGCAATTGAATTCCAATTGTCAATGGTTCTTTTACGTGCATGCCAATGTGTACACGGGGCCTCGGATACGGTTCCTTGCCAGGCCCCCCGTCCTGCACCTGCAAAATCCCCGGAATTTTCTTTATAGGACAACACCGGGATGGAACCGGGACCTCAATGTTAGAAACGAGAGGGAACTGGGACCCCAGGTTAGAGACGGGGTGGAACCTGGTACCCCCAGGTTAGAGACGGGGTGGAACCTGGAACCCCCAGGTTAGAGATGGGGTGGAACCTGTTACCCCCAGGTTAGAGATGAGGCGGAACCTGGAACCCCCAGGTTAGAGATGGGGTGGAACCTGGAACCCCCAGGTTAGAGAAGACAGGGAACCGGGACCCCCAGGTTAGAAACGAGAGGGAACCGGGACCCCAAGTAAGGGCCTGGTTACATGGAGAGGGCTAACCCGGTTGGGCGAATCGTCTTCTCTAAACGGGGGCCTGGGGTATGACGTCATTGCAATGCAACCAAATGAAAAAACAAAACACTGTTTAGATCTAAACCAGGCTTCCCCACTTAACCGGGGCACCCGTTTATGAAACCGGGAAGCCCGGCAAAACGAGCCAGCCCTTCTTCCATATAAACAAAATTGTGTCTTACAAAATTGTGTGGATTTCTTGCAGAACGTAACATGTTATTGAAGACAACCTCTTCATTTGATGTACAGGTAAAATATTCCTTATGTCAATGCATAAGCAGGATCCCCTATCAAATAATTTGGAATTTTGTTTCGACCGGGTAAGATATTCCTAAAGGTCACGGGAAGTGTGTTATCATTCAGTTTCTTGTTAATACTTGAGTTTGCGAAGACCTTGGCATCGTGGACGCTCCCTGGCCATCTACAATCCACATCCATGAAAAGTCCATTATTATCACAAACTGCTTGAACGTTCAACGAAAAGAAATTCTTATAAGAGAAATAGTCTTGAGAATTCTCAACTGGCCGTTTTATGGGAATATGGTACCATCAACACATCGAAAGGCCTGTACCATACCAAATTTTATTTTCGTTTGCATCTCTGGAACATTTTCGGCAGTTTTACGTACACTTTACCAAGATTTGAAACAATGGCTTTACAAACTTGTACAACAACAACTTAACGAAATTCCAAAAGTATTTGAAGTCATCGCAAATGAACCTGTATCTTTTAAAGTGTAGAGAGTAATGGCTAGTTTTTTCTCTACACTCAATTCTGTATAATTTGGTGAGTTTGGTTTGGGCTCAATAAAGGGCCGCAGTTCATTTACAAGTTGTTGAAAATGAACTTTTGACATTCGAACATTTTTCTTCCAATCATCTTCAGAAAGTTTGCCAGAAATCATATTTCGCCACCATTTTTCTGTTCGTCCAGATTTCTGCCATGTTATTCTTTTCCTTCTACGCGTGATTCGCCTTCGATGCAATTTTGTACTACTAGGAGCTAATAGCATTCAAATATAGCAAAATAAGGCGGTGTTTTGCTTGTTAATTACATGGGAAGCATGACACTAACAAATTGAACTGCGAAACCAACCAAATACTCAAAGTTAATAAAACAATAAAAAGTTTTAATTTGATATTGAATGTGGTCGCCATTTTGTTTCCTATATTACCTATGTTCCAGCCCACCTATCACTTCCATATAAAGGACACCCGGGGAGCCTCTTGTTCATGTAAACTTTCAGACGAGATAGCCCCCCTTATAACAATTAAAATTACGTTTTCAACGTATATAAATAGTTTGGACGAGATAGCCCGTTGATTTCATCGCAGCTCGAGTATATGGCCCGCTGTCATATAAAAACTACAGTAAGAGGCTGAACTTGGCAGGCTAGCCCGTCTATCCGAGCTAGCCCTTCCCATGTAACCAGGCCCTTAGAGACGGGATGGAACCGGAAACTCCGGGTTAGAGACGGGATGGAACCGGGACCTCCGGGTTAGAGACGACAGGGAACTGGGACCTCCAGGTTAGAGACGACAGGGAACTGGGACCTCCAGGTTAGAGACGACAGGGAACTGGGACCTCAGGTTAGAGACGGGGTGGAACCGGGACCTCTAGGTTAGAGACGACAGGGAACTGGGACCTCCAGGTTAGAGACGACAGGGAACTGGGACCTCAGGTTAGAGACGGGGTGGAACCGGGACCTCTAGGTTAGAGACGACAGGGAACTGGGACCTCCAGGTTAGAGACGACAGGGAACTGGGACCTCAGGTTAGAGACGGGGTGGAACCGGGACCTCTAGGTTAGAGACGGGGTGGAACCGTAACCTCTAGGTTAGAGACGGGGTGGAACCGGGACCTCCATGTTAGAGACGGGGTGGAACCGGAAAATCCAGGTTAGAAACGGGATGAAACTGGGATCTCCGGGTTAGAGACGGGGTGGAACCGGGACCTCCAAGTTAGAGACGGGGTGCAACCTTGGGGTTAGAGATAGGGGGTGTGGGGACCGGGAACTCAAGGCTAGAGAGGGATAGAACCGGGAACCCCAGGTTAGAGATTGGATGGAACCGTGACCTCCAGGTTGGAGAGCCAGTGCCTAATCACTGAACCACCGCGGATCTATCGAATGTCCAAATTGGTGGCGATGCATGTTATAGCCAACTGATGGGGTGGATTTTCAATTAGACGAGAATTGCCATTCTGGAATTCGGTCAAGTTATAGAGTTATCTCCCTTATATTAGTCGATGACGCATTGCAATTGTTTTTCGAACCGATTGGCTACAATGTGAACATATTCAACAACCGAAGATATTCGCAGTAATATTCGTAGTGACTCGTAATCGTTCTTTTTGTGGTGTTGGTTGATTCGTATGCGCTTACGGCATACTACGAAAGTTTTAAAACGTTTAAAACTCTCGTACTTAATCCCATACGAGTTTTCTCTATCGTACAGCATCTTATAATTGACGCCTTGGACATTTCTAAACCACGTGGGACATTCGTGAGTAATCGTGCACATTTTACCAGTACGGCTGGTCGTGATGTCTTAATAACTGGTTGTACAAGTTTTGCCAATTCGCCACATTCGCGATGAATCGGCTTGAATCGCCGAGTACCATCTTACTGCTAGGTTCCTACTATCACGATTCATGCTGCGATTGAAATCGCGGTTTTAATCGTGGTGATCCTGTCTTATCAAATATTGCGGTCAGTCGTAGCAGTCGTGTTGATCGTATCCAAACCTATCCGAATGTATTTACACGTACCAGGTCGAGGACTCAATAGGGACAATCCTATTGTAACCCATCGCGCGACAGTGGGAACATAGCATACGTGAAACCAGAATTTTAGTCATCCTACATAACGGGAACCTAATGGAATGCGTTTAACGTCTCGCGATTACGAGCGAGGGGTAGTAAATTTGCTCCGACTGCGGAAGAGGGGTGGGGGGCATATGCTCTTCAAGTTTCGGATGGCAACATCCGAAGGTGTACCTGTTAGAAGATGGGCTGGTGATGTTCTTACCACCCAAAGGACTTCGCACTCCTGACAAACGGGAACCGAGCTTTAAGCAATTCCGGAGGTTCGAAACCAAGAGTCGTGACAGCGACTTTTAAGTAAGAACAGAAAATAATAAATGAAATAAACTTTATATCGAACAGTTTAACAATCCAATAGATAGAAAATAATATAGAAATACTTTGATTTAATATACTTACGGTTAAAGGCGCAAAGTGGGGAATGTCGAAACCGGAGCAGATATTATGTGGTTTTAAGAAAAGCTAATCCGCCAAGTAAACAAAAACGACTTTCGGTTAATCGGATCAATACTTTATCTTGACCTCAGTCCAAGGGTTGAGGATCGTTTTAATAACACGGTAACTTTTGCATGATGAGAGGGTGTGGGTGGAGGGAGGGATCAGTTTTAAAATTTACAATGAGTGTTTTCTAGTAAAGAAATATTATCAAAAGTCCATTGATTGTCGAATCTTTTTCTGCTAAATATTATAAAAGCTTTTTGTTTGTCAAATATTATAAAATAAAATTTCTTTGCCAAATGTAATAACGCAGTTATTAATTTTGTTTGTAAAATATTATAAAAATTCTTTGGTAAATATTACAAAATTCACAACACAATTTATATGGAAAACAATCACATATAGCACGACGTTTCGATAAGAGAATACTTGTCGAAACGTCGTGCTATATGTGTATAAACCAGTGATTGTTTTCGATATTATCGTAACGTCGTGCTATATGTGTATAAACTAATGATTGTTTTCCATGTAAATTGTGTTGTGTATTTTTTTTAATGTGCTCAATCGTTAAATGCCACACAAGGATGATATTATAAAATTCCTTTGGTTGTCAAATATGGTATAACCTATATTATAGCCTGTTAATGAAAAACATGTTCTATACACCAATGATAATAGCGAATCATCAAACTGACTCTCTGCGTAGGCTCCACACAATCTACTGTCAAACCACAAACAACACAACCCGAATGCGTATCGGTCAGATCATGAATATTGGTAATCAAGGGGAAATAATTGGTTAGGTATTTTTACTGCTTCTTCTTTGATTCATCAACAGCCGCCCGATTCACGTCAATATGAATTAGTTTATCCAAGTAGACAGCAACAAGGCAGCCAATGAAAGGTCCGATCCAATATACCAGAAAATGTTCCCACAACGCTGTGCCTTGACAACCGAGTGTATGACCAGACGCCATAGCCGGGTTAAAGTACATTCCAGTTGTGCTTAATCCTGAAAGAATAGAACAAAATGAATGTTTCTCTAATATTATATTTCAAATTAGGTGTGTACAACTGGCGATAAATGATGCTTTTAGAATATACACGTATCCTAATGTTTCTTGCATATTAACAAATTCTCAGTCCACCCGTAAAATAGTACATAGTTTGGCCCTGTGGGAAAGAGGTAACAATCAGACCCTCATTGACTTACCGAATGTAAAGTAATAGTTCTTACAATAGTTATTATCTAAACTAAATTTTCGTTTTTACAATAATACAAACCAGATAGGACAAAGTTTTAAACAATTCAAGAATAACTTAAGCCTGTAAGATTTTCCGCTCTGTTGGTTTAGTTGTAAATGGCCCCTTATTCAAAGTTTTAATTGTATTTGCTTGTTATTTGTGTTGCATATTTTGTATATAGTTGTCTACTATTCACATATCTGTATTATTTGCTTGATAAACACAAGAGTATCCATAATTAAACCACGCTTTTTATATCCATATAATTGTACCTTGTGTTAATATGTTCAATAAGTAAATGCCAGTCAAGGAAGAACAAATAGTAGTTTAAATATATCAGTTAAATATGGGTTTCTGCGTACAAACTGGGTGATTTAATGGTATATATGGACTAAAAACATATTCAAACTAATTAATTTGTCATAACTTTGCTTAAAACCCTTCTCAAAAATTGTAATTGCGAAGGAGTGTCCGGCTATAAAAATTCGATCAAACCAGGTCATGTTTACATCACGTGACTTACCTCTCTTGGAAGAGGGGGTTGGATGGCCGAATGGTTAGCACGTGCGTGCTGTATCATAAAGCCTGTCATTGAGTCAACTGGCGTGGTTTTGAATCCCCGGTTGTACGTGACAAGGAGTAGGGTCGCCTGTCCATCCTCGTGGATTTTCTCCGGGTCCTCCGGTTTCCTCCCACTGCTAAAGACCCCTACGCGCATGCGAATTATTTGAAATAAAATTAAACCATATGTTAGTCCCGAAATGACCTAGTTTGTGTCGAGTGGACGTTAAACTCGGGCGCGATATTATTTGTGTACAACTGACGATAAATGATGCTTTTAGAATATACACGTATCCTAATGTTTCTTTCTTATTAACAAATTCTCAGTCCACCCGTAAAATAGTACATAGTTTGGCCCTGTGGGAAAGATGTAACAATCTGACCCTCAATGACTTACAGAATGTAAAGTAATAGTTCTTACAATAGTTATTATCTAAACTAAATTTTCGTTTTTACAATAATACAAACCAGATAGGACAAAGTTTTAAACAATTCAAGAATAACTTAAGCCTGTAAGATTTTCCGCTCTGTTGGTTTAGTTGTAAATGGCCCCTTATTCAAAGTTTTAATTGTATTTGCTTGTTATTTTTGTTGCATATTTTGTATATAGTTGTCTACTATTCACATATCTGTATTATTTGCTTGATAAAAACAAGAGTATCCATAATTAAACCACGCTTGTGTCGAGTGGACGTTAAACTCTCTCTCTCTCTCTCTCTCTCTCTCTCTTGGCAGTCAGAGGAGAATTCATTGCATACATAAGACGATGTTGTCTTTAATCGCTTACTATTTATTACAAATATCGAATCCTAATTAAATTCTCGGATTATCCACTACCCGCGTCTTTTTCCGTCATTTTTATCTCAGAAAGTGTTGTACGTCTAACTCTTCATAAAGTTTATCAACTTGTACATCAAGCGCTCAATGTTCGCGTGTGACCTTTAACATCACGCGCGCAGAAATTCCTAATCGTCGGGCTGTTGATTAGGGGAACCCTTACATTTTTGTCCTGTATACGCCCCATGATTGTTTTTCGGGGAATCCAGTATTTTTCTAGTAAGATTGGATATCTCTACTTTCCATATATACCAAAATTACCATACTTTTATTGGAAATAACCTCCCGATAAATACTTTTCTGGGAACCCATCTTTAAGTGTGAAGTATATATAAACGTATAAACTGAAAACTGTTAATTTAATCAATTCATGGATATCAAAAGCGTGGTTAGTTATTAAGGAAGTAAAATGAGTGGGCGGTAACTTATTATACCGTTTTTATTAACCCCCTGGGCCGTAAAGTAGAATGTTAAAACCCCCTTTCATATAATTTCGTATGTAATAAATAGTCAAGGTAATAATAGAACAAATCTGTTTAACGTTAATTGACAGCCCACACAGCAGATATTCGCATATTCGTGACTACTAGATAGTAAACCTGTGGACTGACTAGTGTTAAAGATATATCGCTATATATTCTAGATTTTACTATTTAGCCAATGGTCGCTGTTCTAGGTACATAAACTGTTCAGCTTAAAGGAGCTAAATCGCTAATTTTTGAGACCTAGAAATTGACACAAACGGATCGCAACACATATAATAATGTAATATGAATGTATATAAACTGATTTACATTCAATAGTTTCCGTTTTTATGTAATTTCAAACCAGTTATTATCGGCGAGATACGCCAGAAGTGTCAATCGAATGGCAATCTCTTATAGAGTCTGGTTATTCCAGTCTACACCGAGGTATTTATTGTGCATGCTTTCCAGATAAGAATATTGCGTCACCGTTTAACATGACTTGTGGAATATGTCTAGCCTCGTTCTTTGAGTCCCTTGTTACAAATCGCGTTGAAACGCATTATGGTACACGATTGTCTTAAATATTGAATATCAGAAGCCAATCTTTTCCCGGTACGATCACAACATCAATGTTGATTTAAATTGACAAATAATTCGTGTTTTCAATGTCGCAGACTTTGGATAATGTTGAGTTAGAGACTTAGCTCCTTTAAAACATAAATATTACCTGCAACAATCATCAAACTACCATTAGCATACTTGATTAGCTCATCCAATACCGACATTCTTGATACTGTCTGCATTCCCAGCCAACTATCGGACAGTGAGGCTCCCATTTCCACCAGAAACCCAAACATGAGGGTCACATTTAAGTCGGACATACATGAAGTCTCGTAGTATCTCTCATGATGATCCGAAATCAGATCCAGAGACCAAATCAGCTGAGCCAAACGATAGGATGCCAGACCAGCAAGACTCTGTATGAAGATCTTAACCATCGCTTTAATAAAACCCATTTCACCAAGGATAAGTTTTTGAAAGGCTTGGACGGGATTCTCAGAGGAACCTTGAAAGGTTCGGCTACAGACGAAACATTGAATGACTATGGCAATGCCAAGCCACAGGCTTCCATAATACTTATATATAAAGTTGTTTTCAAAGAAGTATGCGCAAGCCTCCATGGTTGATATAAAATCTAATACGTATTCTTGTATTTTCCCCGGAAGAATCACTTTAGTCAAAGCTCTTAAGATTATTCCAGTTAAAGCTGTGATGACACAAAATGTGACCGACGCCGTATATGGTTCTACAAAGTCATGTTCTGGCGCGCTGCCAGACACAGTTGCGTAAGCTCTTCTCCAATCCATCTCTGAAAATACAGTAATTGGCGAAATTAAAGTTTGATAAAGAATTATCTAATTGGACAAAAAACCGTAAGTTTAATTACATAATATGTCGGACATGAGGTAAGATATACTTACTCGTTCTTGAACGCCTGATACCACTTCTTATTGCTGAATGAATGAAATGCGGAAGGAGCGGGGGGGGGGGGGGGTTAACGTCCCACTACTCTGTCCGAAACGGGCTAATGAAGAAGTGCATTCGTCATGGAGTATACAATGAAGAAAATTTTACCCCGAAAGCAACTGAATTCCAATTGTTAAGGGTCCTTAAAGTTACACGCACGCCAACGTGTGCACGGGGACTCGCTTCGTTCGTCCCATCAGAACGACAAGACGCCTTTCCTTGCCGGGCCTTCCGTCTTGCACCACTGACAAGGAGAATCCACACTGGAAAATTATGGGGATCTTTCTCAAATATAACGTCCAAGTTAGTGAGCCAGCGCCTTACTCTCAGTTTAGAAGTTCAAATAGCTGAAATTTATTTAAACCGCTGAGCCGATAACCTTTAGATCCGGGGCTGTTTACTATACCCAGTAGTCTTCAACCTCTGATATCGGTGTGGTGCAAAATAGCGGATATACTTACTCTTTCTTCTAGGACATTCGATATAATATTTGTGTTGCACTGTTGTATTCAAAATAACACAGAGAGAGAGAGAGAGAGAGGGGGAGGGAGAGTTAACGTCTACCCGACACAAAGTATGTCATATCGGGACTAACATATTCTTCAATTTCATTTCAATATTTAGCAATGGGGGGTACAGGCGGACCAAGAGAAATACCCACGAGGTTGGTCAGGCGACCCTCTTCCTTGGCACGTACAAGCTGGAAATCGAAACCACTTCAGTTACTCAATGACAGTCTTTATGATCTAAAGCGCACACATTAAAACATTTGGCCGTCCAACCCCATAAAATAACATCGGGCACTGAAGGTAATGATGTAGTATGACTGACTACTAAATTATACGGGGGTCACGGTGGCTAAGTGGGTAACTAGCTGGCTCGCTAGCCTGGAGGTTGGGTGTTCGATCCCTGCATTGGCCGAGAAAGTTCATCCAGATTTTCCGGCGTGCCCCCCCCCCCCCTTGCCAGTGATGCAGGACAGCTTTCTATTCGTTCGGATTGTACGAAAAACCGAGGTCTCGTGTACACATTGGCGTGCACGTAAAAGATCCCTTGGTAGTTGGAATTCGATATAAGAGTAGGCCGTAGTGCCGCGCTGTCCGGACAAACTATCCCGCATAGCACACTGTATGGCGTATGCCGGTCTTTATTAAACCAGTTCGGAGCAGAACAGTAGGACGTTAAACCCCATTTCATTTCATTTACTAAATTAGACAGGCCTTACCGTGATTCCACTATAGCTGTGTACGACGGACTCCTAATGAATCCTGACACGTCTGATCTCAAAGATGACATGACACCTAAATCCCTATGTCACTGTACAGATTGGTAAAAGTCAGTGAATGTCATTCCAAAAAAAAAAAATTCGGTGACATCTTCTCACGCCAAAGTGACGGATGTAAACAACCAAGAATAGACTTGATTAACCAGACACTCTGATTGTAATACGATATGAACAGGACAGGTCCTGCTTTTTTGCACCGACCGGGCATGAGGGAAGTTTTCCCTAAGACTTACTCTTAAAACGAATTCCATCTGTCAAGGGTTTTTTTTTTACGCGCACGCATATATATACGAGGCCTCAGTTGTACGTCCCATCCGAATAATTAGACATTGCCCTTGGCCAGTCTCTCCTGTCTGTACCACTGAAAATGGGCAACAACGCTCGGGCCACACCGGGATCGACCCCCGGACCCCTTGGTTAGTGACTCACCACCTTACTCACTGAGCCACCAATACCTACCGGTCAATGAATAAAGTAGAATGTTACTGATCCACAAAGTGCTAATGACACTTTAATTAAATAGATAAGACTTGGAATTCATCCAGATGAAAAGAATTTATTTAATTTAATTTGAATGTCACGAAGCTTGCCAATAAGCCATATGAACGTATTAATTAGCACTAGATAATACACATTGCTCATCAATAAAGCATTGAGAAGAAACAAGAATTAAAAGCTTCCGTGTGGGCGTATAATGGATCATAATCTGTCCAATCGTTATCTACTCGGGATGAGCGAATGATTTAACGCGCACGTTTAAAGTAGAGGGGGGGGGGGGGCACACGATGGTTTAACGAGAAAAATTAAAGGTCTGTCATTGCGTCAAGTGACGTCCTTTCGATTACGTGAAAAGGAGTACGGTCGCCTAGCCAACTACTAAAGACCCTCACGCGCAAGCGACTTATTGAAATAACATTGATCTATGGGTTAGTTCCGAAATGACCTAGTTTGTCCAAACGGAAGTTATGGTCGACAATATACGATCACATTTCAATATGGGCGTATGAAAACGGGTTTGGGTTGTCCATTATTTGACTCCGATCAATTGCTCAAAAACTGGTTTGGGTTGTCCAATATTTTATTTTAACGTAACGTAATGTGCTAAAACTAGTTTGGGTTTTCCATTATTTTACTTTAACTATGTGCTAAACTAGTTTGGGTTGTCCATTTTCTTACTCCAACGTAATGTGCTAAAACTGGTGTGGGATATCAAATGTTCTACTCTGATTTCCTTTTACGAGGTGAGATTGTTTGTGTAACTTAATGTAATTCGACTGTGTAACTTGGTGGGCTTCTTCCTTGTGTTACTATGTTACATTGGAATCATTCGGGATTTGGTTCTTTGGAATGTTTAAAGATAGGACCCACATCAGCTAAGTCGTCCAGGCAATGAACAGGGAGTGTCGCATATTTGTGTCGTCGATAATAAAAACATTTATAAGACACTAAAATCTGATTGCGAGTAAGAACTCATTCAATAATTATCAGAAATCATTAGAATTTGTTTGGCTTCTAGTTCTGCCGCATACTAAAGTTTAGTATACAAAACATTTAATATCGTGATTTTAGCTGTTCTAGTTATCGGAAATCTTTGAAAATAAAACGTCTTCTTCGCCGCATGACCTTAAACGCTGAGTAGAAATTTGGAGTCAATCAGATATCAACTTTAGCATCTATTGCTTGTGGACGCCGGGCGGACGGACGGACAAACGAATGGACGGTGGCAACGACAATATACGACGTATATAAAAATGGGCGTATAAAAATATTTATATCTCTGATGGACTCCTCTAAGACTTACTGGTATTCTATATTGGGGTTATAAGGAATCCCCTTATCAAATCTATTTTCCTGCTTATTCAATTTACGATGCAAATCGCGTATTTAATAGGATTTTCAAAACGTAAAGCGGATTCTTCTTTTATTAAGTTTTTAAAATAAATGTTTATTATTTAGAGTGGGCGTGTGGGGCTCAATACTCCTCACATCGTTGTCTCATTGTATAGAAGATGGGGATACTGATCGTGAATGGTTAATTAAATCCAGATATATTCCTCATTAATCATTCTGAAGAAACGGTAACGTGTAAACGATAAATACACGTGGTACTGGTTACCTTACGACACAATGATACTTTAAACTTACATTATGCAAGAGCTAAATCTGCCTATTGCAGGTCTTTCTTTAGGCCTGAAATGTTTTCTAAATTATTAATTAGACATTAAAGGACAATATTGGTGTCAGTCATTATCACAATGTGATAGAACTGGTTAAACACATTCCAAATATAATTTTAACACAGAGATCATTGCTACGATGGATGAGTAATACAGGTGTCATGAATCGGAAGTGACGAACGCCAAAGGAAAACACGAGTTATCACTCTATATAACTGACTGAAGTGACGAGTGATAACAGATACACAGCCGAATTTCTGCTCACTAATAATTCCTTCGAAGACCATAATCAACTCTCGATGGCATCGGATTTCTCTTATATTAAATAGATTAGAACAGTTCAGCCATATTTTGATTTCAGCTAAAACTGGAGGAGCGAGACTTAGCTTCGAACAACCAGTACGGTGGTTGAAATTATTGCACATGTCTTGTCAAAACTTCAAAGGCTAATAGCTTCGCTCGCAATAAAGTAATTTGAACGAAATTTTCAATATTTTCATTTTACATTATCTTTTTTCGAACTATTATAGCAAGAATGGCTAGTTCTTTATCTAATCTTACATAATGTATCTTTAAGATTACAGAATAAACACGTGTCAGCTAATCGATGGTCATTGGATAAATGCCATCAAACTGAAATTTTCTAACTTTATTACTAAAAACAAATCTTTTTTCTAGACCCCCCTTCTTTCAAGGCGGAGCGGAAATTCGGTTTGCAAGTCTACGGCTCTCTGCATTTAAATACCAAAAAAAAACAACCAGCGTAGAATTCTATTTGGAGAAAATCATCTTTACAGGAAATTGACCTGTGTCACAGATAAATGAAATGGGTTTAGCTTCGACGGACATACGCAATACAGTGTGATTTGAGGGGAAATTTTGTCCCTCTTGTAAGTGGACGCCAATGTGTAAAAAGGATGTCAATTTTTCGCCCCGTCCGAACGACTAGACAGCTGTACCTGTCAGGTCCTACAAATGAAAGGAAATTAAATGTCGTTTAACGTCCTGCGTGTCTGCACCAACCGGGATCATAAAGACATGCTTACAGTGTCTTAGAGGGCAATTTTGGCCGGACAGCAGCTTACTGTTATTTCGGATTTCAACACATTTCGGGGGAGGGGGCGAATGGTTGGCACGTGCGCGCTGTATCATAAGGTCTGTCATTGAGTCAACTGGCGTGGTTTCGATTCCCCGGTTGTACGTGACATGGAGTAGGGTCGCTTGTCCAACCCCGTGGGTTTTCGCTGGGTCTTCCGGTTTCCTCCCACTGCTAAAGACCCCTACCCGCAAGCGAATTATTGAAATAAAATTGAACAATATGTTAGTCCAGAAATGACCAAGTTTATGTCGAGTGGACGTTAAACACCCACACCTCCCTCTCTCTCTCTCTCTCTCTATCCCTCTCTCTCTATCCCCTCTCTCTCCCTCTCTCTCCCCCCTCTCTCTATCCCTCTCTCTCTATCTCTCCTTCCCTCTCTCTATCCCTCCCTCTCTCTCTCCCTCTCTCTCTCTCACTCATTTCGAATTCTCGAGTTCTTCTACGTGCCGGCCGACACGTACTTTTCGTCCCGTGTCACACCCGAACGACTAGACGCTGTTCCTCACCAGACCGGCGTCTTATACAACACTGACAAGAGTAAACCACGCTGGTAAATCCCAAGGACCCTACATTATGTTTTTATCGTTTCGTAGTGTGTACATAAATTGCAGTACAGCCAAAGCACTATATGAATCGATGTGATAGTGAAGTGACGAATGTTTATAAAGGAAATAGTAGTAGAAGTTGTTAATCATAGTCTATTGATTAATGTTGGTAGGCTGCACACATATATATAATGAGCAGAATAGTGCGATCTCTATTTCTCTGTACATAACAATAAGAGCTAAGGATATATGTGTTCATATATTCATACGCTGTCATTCATCAAGCATAAGCATACGAGGTCTACAACAGTGTTAAAAATAGCTCAGTTGTGGCGAGGCTCTCTCTGCCTGCTCGGTTGGTTGGGCATAAGAACTTTTCCTATTCATTGTTATGGTATATACTTATGTAGGTTAGGCTTGGAAATTAGGGTTGTTTGAAATAATCTTACCCAAGTTTCTCTCGTTCTCACCACCACATAAATTTAAAACTTCAACAGCTCCACTGCATCTGCAATCGGTGGTATGCTTCTATATATTTAGTTTTACGGGAAGGAGACCCCAATGACGAAACGGTCGTCTGCTCTTCGTTAATTCTGGTCCATTGCAGCTGCGCTATGTGTATCACGTGACCAAAGTACACAGTGAAAGCTATTATTAAATACAACACGCGCATTATCTTGTAAAATATGGATAGCTAAAAGAGAGAGAGGGTAGGGAGGGGGTAACGTTCACTGGACATAAACTAGGTCATTTCGGGACCAACTTATAATCTATTTTATTTCAATAATTCGCAGTGGGTGGACCAGAATTAACGAAGAGCAGACGACCGTTTCGTCATTGGGGGTCGCCTTCCCGTACACTAAACATATAGTAACATACTCCTTGTCGCGCACAAGCGGGGAATCGAAATCACACTACTTGACTCAATGACAACTAGTCTTTATGACCCAACGCGCGCGCGTTAACCATCCGCTCCCCATCCCCCACCGCATACCGGATAGCTAAGTGAACTGTGCCATCAGCGCTGTAGGTAGAGACCTTTCCCCGGTTGTTCGAAACATTATTATTACTTAATGCAATTACACGTTTGTGCATATTTGAATAACAAGATAAGATAAATATTGTACAGCATGCCATATAATGATATATTTAGACCGGAATATGAATAATGACTATTAATAATATGGCAAATAATTACATATATACAAGTATATACGTAAAATTTATGTTGGCGAAATGAAACAACATTATTTGTGCTAACGTTTTCACAACCGAAGTTGCTCTTCAGGCATTTATTATAACATGTATATATACAAACAGAACACTAGCCTAACATATTCTAACAAGACATTATATGATTCCTCTTTAACTCCTCATGGAGTCATAGGTAAGACGCTGGCTCGCTAGCCTGGAGGTCGGGTGTTCAATCCTTGCATTGGCCAAGAATGTTCATCTAGATTTTTCGGCGTGATTCTCCCTTGTCAGTTGTCTAGTCTTTCGGGTGGGACGAAAAACCGAGGTCCCGTGTACACATTGGCGTGCACGTAAAATATCCCTTGACAGTTGGAATTCGATATAAGAGTAGGCCGTAGTGCCGCTGTCAGGGCAAAATTTCCTTCATTGCACACGGTATGGCGTAAGCCGTCTTCATTAGGCCAGTTTGGAGCAGAACAGTAGGACGTTAAACTCAATTTCATTTCATTTCATGTTGACCATGTGGGTTGGTTGGAGCTGAAAGTACCTCGGAATTGTCCAGTGTGGTTTCCACTTGTCAGTTATGCAGGGTGGAGGTCCTAGTAAGGCACTACGTCCTGTCGTTCCCGTATACGTAAAGGAAACCTTTGCAGTTGGAATTCGATGAAGGATGTCCATAACTAAACCAATAATATTGAACAGCTTTTCATAGTTGACAGTTAGGAAATACAGTGTGCTATGAGGGAAATTTTGACCAGTGAGCGACACCACGGTCTACTCTTATCTCGATTTCCGACTGTCAAGGAATCATTTACGTGCGTCCCAATGTGTACACAAAAGAGTATTTAACGTCCGCTTCTACTAAGGGTGGTATCGCAGACAATAATTATTTTCATTATCTTAGCTCATGTGCAATGGTCTTTCCTGTTGGGGGAAACCGGAGTGTCCGGAGTAAACCCACGATGTCGAGAAGCCACATGCGCTCACACTAGGGATCGAAACCACAACCGCAAGGCAACTAGCTAGATGACCATCGAACTAGAGCTCGAAACGCAACACTCTAGACCACTAGCCCCCCACCCCCAATCCACCATATAATGGGTTATAAAGACGAAGGGCGACGTCATACCAATGCTTTAATTTTAGGATACACATTAATGAATCTGTAAGAGATAAAGACGTAATCGGGATTTATTGGCATTTTAATTAACAGGAATACGTTTCTATAACAATAAACTCGCTGAAATCTTATAAGAGCTGACCAGATTATTAGCATGGACATCAGGTAGTTCCTGTAATTGTGTGACCTTTAGAAGTTCTGTGCGTCATTTGCATTATTCGCTAAAACATCAAATATCTTACGGATTAATCCACGTTACATATGGGCTCAGATTGATCATTTAACATCTAATTAAGAAAACATAATTTTGATGCTTATTAATATCCCGACTTGGATTTAATCGGATTTTAATTATGTCCGTCAGGTTTTTCCGCTCCATTAAAAGATGATGGTGGTGTCTAGTTACATAGCGAACAGCATAGATCGATGAAATTGCGATTTGTCAGCACTAAGAGCTTAAACTTTGATAATATTGTAGTTCTCAGGGGATTCCTATAGCGGTAAATGACACATCGGACCTTTAATATGTTCTACTTAGTCAGGGGGTTGTCTGTTTTGTGTAATCTTTAATATGTTCAGGTTTTTTAAGATGATAGTTATATGTAACGGTAGTTTACATTTTATTTATTAATTTTAAGCGTTTTCCGAAATTCTATTGGGATTATCGGCCTATCTGAATGACTATCGCCACGCGTATATATCTATTTATATACTAATATTTGTGACTGTTGTCTGTTTGTTGGTTGTTTTTTTTTCAGGGTTGGCGGCTACATTACGTTCACTAGAGCTATCCCGAGTCTGTTCAGGGTTGGCGGCTACACTTGGGTCACTATGGCTGTCCCGAGTCTGTTCAGGGTTGGCGGGTACACTTGGGTCACTAGGGTTGTCCCGAGTCTGTTCAGGGTTGGCGGCTACACTATATATAGGGTCACTAGGGCTATCCCGAGTCTGTTCAGGGTTGGCCTACACTACATGAAGATCTGACCGGTTGTAGCGATAGTTCGAGTCAGAGGTCATACGAACGGCTTTTGATCCTATGACGTCAGACATTTGATTAACCAATCAGCATTGATGTTTCTTGTGGATTACCCACAGTTCCGTGCAAAACAGGCCTAAATCTCGCCGTAACAGACCGTTTCATTGGCTAATCCCTCACATTATCCAGAACGCGTCAATGATAACAACTCTTCCAGATCGTAGTGTAGTAAAGACAAGTAAAATGAAATTTTGAACTATAAAAAACGAAACGAAATAGGATCTTTGCTTTAATCAGATTGGGGGTAGCTCGGACTGGGGAGTAACGTAGACAAGGTGGCGATGGACTACCACTCCCGGTTCATGGCTGTACCCGTTTTACACCGGATCATCGCTAGTAGCTAGATGTATGACAGCAAGGGGTTTGTTTAATTTTAAAGATTTTTAAAACTATATTTCCTGATATCTGTGCTTGTAATAGCACCGATAAGCTATAATAAAAATGCATTATTGCCTTGAAATTACATCCGAAACCATAACGTTAATAACATTTTAGTCTAAAGACTCCCCTGATAGCAACATTATTCACTTCATACATCGTATATATATCATTTCCATTTTCTCTTTCATTAACTCCAATAGAGTAATTACAACTGGTTAAACGATGCACGAAGACTGGATCAAGCTACGCAATTTAGCTAACAATAACAGACTAATTATAATTAGCTAAGGGACATTTGATATTTGAAATAGTCGGCTATTGAAGCGGAGAAACGTAATATAAAGTCAATTAGACAATGAACTTTGTCCAAGAATTTTATTCATTCGCACCTTCTTCGTAACGACGGAAAAACATTTAAATGTCAGCCCATGATTTTATTGTACGAAACTTTGGCTACTCATTTCAATTTTAAGCAAAAAGTCATAAAACACAATTATAGTTAAACTTCCTTCCAAAGCTCATAATACTTCGATAGAATTCACTACTTGCTTTTGTATTTAACTCCATTTTATGAAGGGAGCCATAAGTGGGTAAGACGCTGGCGCGCTAGCCTGGAGGTCGGGTGTTCGACCCCTCTCTGCATTGGCCGAGACAGTTCGTCCAGATTTTCCGGCGTGGACCCCCCTTGTCAGTGATGCAGGGTTGAGAGCTCTGACAAGGACAGCAGTCTAGTCGTTCGGGTGGTACGAAAAACCGAATTCCCGTGTACACATTGGCGTGCACGTAAAAGACAGTTGGAATTCGATATAAGAGTAGGCCGTAGGGCGCTGTCCGGGCAAAATTTCCCTGATAGCACACTGTATGGCGTATGCCCAGTTCGGAGCAAAACTGTAGGACGTTAAACCCCATTTCATTTCATTTCCATATTATAAAACCCTAATCTTATTTCAGTCTCTTGTTACCACTGAATTTAAATCGAAATCCGTATTTAAATAACGACAGGTTGTATATCGAAACGGTGTAATGCTTATAAAAATAGGCATGGCCTAAAGAGAACCAAGCCCTATCTTTTAAATATTAACAAAATGATTAACGGGCCTTCAAACTAATTAACCTGTTGTTATATCGACGACCAAGATCTTCTCAATCGGGACAACCGGCCCTGAAATGAGGTTTAGCCTTCTATATTTGTGGGAGCCGCGGAGGCTCAGCGAGGAAGGTGTTGGCTGCCTAACCTAGATGTCCCTTGTTCGATCCCGGTGTTGGCCGAGAAAGTTCATATGGATTTTGCAGCGTAGGTCCCTCTTCTCTGGTATGCAGGACAGAGGCCCAGGCAAAGGCGAACCGATAGCCATTCCAATGATGTGAAAAACCGAGGTCCAATGTACACTTTGGTGTGCACCTAAAAGAGCCCTTGACGATTTGAATTCGATATAAGAGGAGGACACAACGCCACTGCTATCCAGGCACAATTTCATCCATAGCACACTATTAGGCGTATGTCTGTCTTCATCAACTCAGTCGGAGAAGAACAGTAGGACGTTAAACCGCGTTTCATTTATATTTTCCTGCACCGACGTACAGTGGGCTAATGAGAAGCATCATCTCCATCATCCCCTTTAAATTACTTGATGACCAGATCCATTCTGAGAACTACAAGAAGGCAGAAGCATTTGGTTAGTGATAATTCCTCATATCTACCTGAAATTCCTGTTCGAGACACATCATTTCAAAATCTACGTACGGCTACCATCTAGATTGAACATATACCTATATCTTTGAAATAAATAAAAACACTTGCCTTCTTGACAATATTAATAATTCTATTCTTCAATCCATTTTAAAAAATCACGTAACGCCTATTGGACAAATTGTACGATTTTAGT